GGGGGGGGTGGGTGCTGGTCCCTAAAGCCGTCTTGGGGAAGGAGCTGCCTCTGGGCCAGTCTTGCCGTTCCCTGGCTGCCTTCAGATTCTGCACCCCGAATGCCCTCCCTGCTCCATTTCTTTTGACCCGGGAATGGGAAGGGCAGTTGAAACTTCTGGAGAACTGGGCGGCCCCTGGGGAAGTCTCCCGGGAGAGGTACTGGGGGAACGTGTGCACCTCTGTCTCCTCTCCCCCTTGCCCTGCCCTCCCGCCTTCTGAGCCCGCTGTTGACCCCTTCCTTCCTCCTGTGAGGCAGCCCTGCCTTCCTGCTCTGGCCTCACTGCCCCGTCCCTAAACTGGCCTTGAAGTCTTCAACCATTCCAAGTGCTTTGGGCCTGTAGATGCAGCATCATCTATAGTGGCCGAACCAAATTGTGGCAGATGCCTTCAGCCTGAAACATCAGTGTTTTATGCTCTTAGTTTAAAATTATGCACTTGAGATTCAAGGTTAAAATCCAGAGTTTATGTGTGTTTGAAATTCTTTACAAAAATAAAATCTTTTATTAAACCCTTAAATGCTAATCAAAGCAACTTATTTTTAATTAGCATTTTCAGATGTTATGCTGTCATATTAAACTCACTCCTGACTAAGATACCCATCAGAGATGTAAGATGTATTTTCTCCAGGTTTTTGTAGGTTTGTTTTTTTTTGGTGTATCTGCGTTAGAAGACTATTTCTAATGGTGTGTAGTTAGCCTCTTCATGGCTTAAATAACTGTTCTCATTGCTCCATACACTCCTCTGTAGATGTGTACTAAATGGAAACCCTTTTCAGCACCAGGACACAGCTGGTAGCAGCCAGACACTGAATCAAGTGCCAGATGTGTTTCTGACCTTCCAGAAGTTGCTGGAAGCTGCCATGACTCAGGGCAGGTGGGTCACGTTGTTGGCATCAAGCGGCTGTTGAAATGCTTTGACTTTTTCACTCACCATTTTCATAAAGCTTAGACAGCACTCCAGTTTGAATGGATGGAAATCTTGTCATTCTTTTAAATGGATGGTACAGACAGAAATAAAAGGTGGAAAATATATTTAAAAATTGTCAGCCTAACTTTGCCTTAAGTTACTCAAACAACTAAACTTTCATAAATAAGGGTTGCAAATGTCTGGATAGCCTAGCGTATCATTTATATTAGAGGTTTGCTTCCACTGAGTTTTGTGAGTTAATCAAAAGCAGTTGATGTCTGTTATAAAAAGATGACATGTAAAGAGCAGGGCTGGGGCTGATGGCGGGGTGGTAGGAGGAAGCACGGAGGGGACAGGTTTGTGTTCTCAGCGTGGGAAGGAGCTGATGGCTTAGGTGATGTGGGGCTTCTCAGCCTTGTTTCAGGCCATGTTAGACTATTCTGGACCTGAATTGCAGCTTTTAGCTAAAAAGTTACTATCCTGGACTTGGGCCAGGTATGGCTTTTCTAGCTTCCCAAATGCTTTTTTTTAATGACCAGGGACAAGGCTAGGGAAGCAGAGTCACGGTAGCAGGTCTCTGACTTTGCTCCCCTTTCTCATGAAGAGATGCAGAGAAGCCAGCTTTCAGGTTGGGCAGCTCTGGGTATACACCAACAAGCAGGGCCGCCCGTCTGCGTGTGGTGGGACATGGGCTCTGGTCGTGGCTCCGCCTCTAGCTGGTTGTGTGACAACTGACACTCCTCTGGAGGGCAAGAAGAGGCTGTGGACGTTCGTGATGAAAACATCGACGAAGTAAGCAGAAGGTAGTGTGCTTAGGCTGGATGTGTCCTTGGGGAGATGGCCCTTGGAGGGGCTGTCCTGGGAGAGCTGGAGGGTTCCAGACCCTCCAGATGAGGAGGTAACGGTGGGGTAAGCCAGGCTGCACATGCCCTATTCATGGGGTCACGGGCTGTTAGACCCGTCAGAGGGTGTGTGCTGGGGAAACAGTGAGTCTGGAAGGACTGCGGAATACCACCACAGAGCACCCTGAAAGGTGGGCAGGGGTCTAGCTTGAGTGGCAGCCTACTGCAGCCCTTAGCCCTAAGCTGGAGTGGGGTGCAGAGGCTGTGGGGACTGGCCTGAACATGCTGTCTCAGCGAGATGTGATGCTGGCCACTTCTGTGACATGCCGTCTGTTCTTGGCACTGGTGACACTGCCACATCCTGCCCATTTTCCTGCCCATATGTCCTGTTGCGCATCCAATTGATTTATCAAAAGCAAGAATATATTCTCAAAGGCAAAGGACATCTGTTTTCTGGTCATCTTTATACCCTTAAACACCCAGCAGAGGCCTCTGTTGCTGAAATAAAGCACCCAAATGTATTTTGCTATGAAAGTGCGAAGCAGTGGTTTTCCATTCCCTGCTCTTTCTTGGAAGAGGCAGGCTGCAGAAACGGAATACAGCAGCACCAGCTTTAGGATCTATCCCCAGTGCCTGCTTCTCTGGGTGTCTTACAGCTGTGTGTTTTATTCTCCATTGTGGTTGGGAGAGATGGGGACTGAGATGACAAATGAGCAAGACCTTGTGCAGCATAAATGCAGCACCAGCTGTTACCTTCAAAGGCGTTACTCACTCAAGCTGCCTCTGTCCGAAAAGCAGCCTTAGAAGGCGGCTAAAGGCGCAGGTAACTCAAGGTGGTTCTTTGCCTGCCATTCCTGCAATAAACTGCAGTTTCTTGGGAAGTCCCTTTGATGTGGGCATGCCCCTGCAGCCACAGCCACGCGCCCTGGAGAAGAACTAGGAAGTGAGAGCTCCCAGACATGGCAGGTGGCACATGTGGAGCCTCACACCTGTACTTGTCTCTGGGTCCCACCCAAAGAATGCCGAGGGATGCCACTTCACAGGTTCTCACCAGTGAGCCTGTTCATCTGGGGAGGCCCTGGGCTTGGGAGTGTGGCCTAGAACACAATCACAAAGGTATGCATCCATTCCTGCCACCCCTGATTCCAGTACTGTACCTGTTCTTGGGGCCCAGGGAAGAGTGATCCATCCATCAGACTTGGACCTGGGCACCCCGGGGAGCAGATGACACCTGTCCGGCAGTGCATCCTGCTGAGAAGACACCTTATGCATTAAGACAATGGAGTGTCCACTCTGCGTCAAGGGCTACCTCTGCACAGGAGGCTTCTGTCCTTGGTGGGATGGTGAGCTCTTGACAGCACATGCTGTGCTATGCAGCTTCTCTTCTGCACCAGCCAGAGCTGGTGCCCATACTGAATGCAGCACTCAGGCACCAACCAAACGCTGGAAGAGCGTCTCCTTAGGTGATGAGAGGAGCTGCTAGAGCAGCTCCCCACGGGGCCTCTCCAGAGCCTGAGCCCCACTTTCCCGATTAAGCACCCCCTGGCAAGTACTCCAGCCTCCCTCCTGTGTGTGCCGGGTGCTGAGCTAGCTCCTGTGCATGGCTAACCCCCTCCTGGGCCTTTCCACTCCCGATTCATGCAGAAATGGGGCTCCCAGCATGGGTGACACGCCCCCACTATCACCTACACAGGCTGAGGGGGTGTTCTGGCTTCTCGCATGGCCACTCCCCACACAGGTGACCCTGTAGGGCCATCAGGCCGCAGCCCGTCATTTCACCCAAGCAGAGGGGGCGGACCCAGGCCTGGTGTGTGAGGCCCTGGTTCTGGGAACCCCTCCTCCCCGAGGGCAAGGTGAGACTGCAGAACAAAATGTAACAAATTCCTGAGCACTTTTAAGGACATGTATTTTTGTTCTTCACAAGTGTCCTCAGGAGAAATCATTTGCTAAAATACAGTCTGCCACTCAGCAGCTTTTTGAAGAAACGTCCGTTTCCTCTCAGCAGGAAAGGCATGGCTTCTGGGGCTCGGGCTGTGGGGCTGGAGACCCTGAGTCGGGAGGGCCAGGGATGAGCCCGGTGAGCTGGGCCTGGCGGAAGGGGCGGGCTGGGGCCGCGGTGCCCGAGGGCACAGGCTTCCTCCACCTGCAGGCAGGCAGGCCGTCCGGGCGGGCGGGGGTCCGCGTCCGCGGGTGGATGGGCTCAGGCCGGCTGCAGGGGCGCGGCGTCGGCGCAGCCCACCTTGTTGCTGAAGAGGCGGGAGAGACTGCGCTTGGGGCCAACTGGGCGCGGGGCCGGCAGCCCGCGGACGTCCCAGAGGCGCAGCGCGCCGTCGTGCGAGGCGGTGTAGAGCACCTGGCCGTGTACCTGCGGGCACAGACGTAGGAGCCCACCCCGCTGCCCCGCCGCCCCTCCACTCCGTCCCCTGGCACGGCGGCCTGGCCGGGCATCGGCTGGAACGGCAACACCTGGGCCGTCTGGTGGCGTTCTCCCAGCCCAGGGGCCTCCATCCTCACGTGGGACGGGGGCCCCCGCGCTCCGGGCAGCGCTGCTCCCGGGATGCCGACGGCCTACCTGGATGCAGTTGATGACGAAGGCGTGGCCGCGGAACACCCTCTGCAGCGCCCCGGACTGGGCGTCGAAGGCGCGCGCGCGGGCGTCCCCGCAGCCGGTGAACACTGTGAACACAGCGCGCCGCTGGGCCGCCCGCCGGAGCCCCGCACCTCCCCCAGGACGCCGCGGGGCAGGAGCCCGGAGGGGCGGGAAGGGCGGGCACCCTCCCCAGAAGCAGCGGCCGCGTCAGGGGCGGCCTAAGGTTCGAATGGGCGGTAGCGGAAGCCCTTTGAAAGGAAGGAAGCGGCACCTCCATTATCTTTCTGGTTATCGACGGTTCGGGGCGATACTGGGGCCGCGCCCTCCGGTCTGCAGCCGGCAGTGCAGGGCCTTAGCTCTGCCCGCGCTGTCCTTTCGGGGCCTCTACCTAGGACCACCCGGGCCCAAGTTCCTGCTCCCAGGTCGTTCCGGACAAGCCTCTGTTGAAGCTCGACTTCTCTGCCTGGCCTCCAGCAGCTCTGAGGGCCCCGCTCAGGGGGTGCCCCTCCCCCACCGTCTGAGCTGCTTGCTGGGGCGAGGACCACCCATAAACCTGGCCCGCCCCTCCTCACAATGAACCGGGCCTTCTTCCCAAAGGAACCCGGACCCTGCGCAGCCTCTTACAGGGGAACCTGAGGGTCCGGCCTCTCCTGGCTCTTTCCCAGCCTGCAACTGTTGTCCAAGTGTCCTCAAACTCCTGTGTATCAGAATCACCAAGACGGCCTAAGGCAGATGGTTGGGCCTGCCTGACTCTGACTTGGGTGTGGGGCAGGGCCTGAGAGCCTGCGTCTCCAGCCCGTCCCAGGTGCTGCTGCTGGGGGCCGGGACCGCCCTGAGAAGCCCGACCAGAGGGGCCTCCCCTGCTCACTGTCCGCTCAGCTGGGGTTCTCCCAGAAGCCAACCCTGAACCAGGCTTTGAGTGCAAACAGTTCATGGGGCCGGGCACTCAGGAGGTGGGCAGTGAAAGAGGAAGGATGTACACACAGATGTTTGTGATCAGGTGACGCTGCAGGTGTGCGGAAGTGCAAACCACATCTCAGATGTCCCACTGAGCCAAGGACACTGGGCCACTTATCCCATGCCTGTTAGTCATTGGTTGAGTCTCTCTTGTGGGTATGAGCTCCCAGCCCTCCCTGGGAAATGCCCTAGGACAAGGACCTCAGGCACGTGGGCAAGCAGCTCTGATGAGCTTGGTACCCATAGCATTTGCCACACCTGCCCGGCAGCCAGAGTGCT